TTTAACTGTAAGGGAAAAAAAGGAATAACGGTACTTAAAGCAAACTGTGAACCAAATTCTCTTGTTATTCCATGAGAAACAGTATGAAAATTTGGCTTCAAATTACTAAAACAGCTACAGAAAATTTTTGGCCTGGTCAATTTATCAGTATACCAACTGCTGAAATAATCATTAGCAATGGGTATACTGCTAGAAAAAAACTGACTTTTACAGGTTAACTACATAAAAAATATATCTTCTGGAAACCACAGTCTCCCTCACAAATTGCACTTGAGATGGCTGAATGCACTGACTGAGCAAGGCATCATTATTGGTTCACTGACACACACACACACACACACACACACACACAAGCAGGTATGAATTGTTGACATTTTTGATTACTAGAATTATTTTATACATGTTTTTCCTCTTTCTCTAAAAGAAGGATTTGTGGTGCCTGAGTTAACTCAGTACATTTAACAGTGAAACTTAGGGCCTGCCTGTGTCTGCTTGGCCCTGTTGCTGGAGACGATGTAGTCTGTTTCGACACTGAATCTTGTTCCCTGGTAGATGATGCAGAAGTCTGATGGAAATATGAATTAAGTCAGTTTGAAAGATACTCATTTCTGGAATTTTAAGCTTTATCCTGACTAGGAAAGGAAGCTCCTGCAATTAAGATTGTTTCACTGACGCTTACAAAACATACATAAAGAATGCGGCCAGTTTGAGTACTCTCTCTAGAAAAATGACAAATGAACTGTGATTGATTTTTTTTTTCTAAGATAGAGAATGACTTTCACAGCCATTTCTCTCCAATAAACTAATTCTTTTCTACAGTAAAAACACAATTCAGAAGCAAGATGGTACTAAAAAATACAGCAAGCTCAAAAAAGCTGGGGAAGTGTACACAGTTGCTTTAAAAAAAGGCGCTCTGAATAAAGGGAAGAAGTATGTTAGAACTAACTTCAACAGATTTGCATGGCTCTATCTCAGACAATAAGGTAAAAATTAGAAAGCTAGGATGAAAAATTGACTTATTAATACAAAATCCGATGATCAAAAAGCGAGTGAAATAAAAAAAGACCCTACAGCTTATTTATTTTGTTGAGCTAGAAAGATACATTAGTCTGAAAATGCAGCGATTGGATGTCTTAACTGGCTTCCTTCTTCCAACTGCCTCCCCTTCTCTGCCTCCTCCCCTTAAAACCAAGAATCTAGATTAGTTTGGAAGTATCAGTCTAAAACTAAAGTAAATACCTATCATAAAAAAGGAAATAAATAACAGAAAACTTGCATCAATAGTCTTCATACCTTCCACCAATAGGAAAAAGAAAAAAAAAAAAAAAAGATCTCCAATCTTCCCTTACTCATCCCTTTCAAAAGCAAGGAAAATCTTAAATTGAAATGAAATTTCAATAGAGGTGAATTTTCATGCAACTGAGTCTCAAGATGTTTAAGACTTTAGTCTATATGTTTAAGTCAATTAATGCATTCTATCTCAAATTATAAAACTGAAGTAATGACCAAGTAATGCAGGAAGGAAATTGCGAAAAGGCACAATGAGACTGGAAGAATCAATCTTCAAAATTCACTTAATTTGCTCAAACAAAGAAAAGACTTAGTGAACAAGAATATTTAGAAATAATGCTTCAGTGAGGAGAGGAAGGTTTAAATAGATTTCAGTGTTCTAGTTATGTGGAAACATTAAGATTTGAGAAATCTGTCCTTCTGTGCCCTACAGTTTCACAAAAACTCCTCAGCAGATTCCAGTTGAATGAGCACATTTCAAACTTTAGGGGTGGTCTCTGTCTGCCCTATCTAAAAGAGAAAAATTGTCTAAGTTTTCTAAAGTCCAACTGTTTTTCAGAGATGCACTTGACTACACAAGGCATGATCCAGGCCATCATGATCATCACGAGCTAAAAAACAGCCTCTGCTCTTACATATTCCCCAGGCAGGGCATGTCTCCCACTGATCTCAAGCCCACATTTGGAATAGGTCTATAAGGGAAAAGAATAGAGAAGAAAGCCTGACCACTATCCATCCATTATGGAGCTCTCTCCTATTTTAATCTCTCTCTTCACTCTTGACACTTAGAATTTTTTTCTTTCTTTCTTTTTTTTTTTTTTTTTGAGGAAGAAAGAAAAATAAAACATCTTTACTGTCTTTCTATTTTAGAATTATCAGCTTTCTGTGCTCTCAAATAATGGGGAGGTCAACATTTCTCTTGGTGTTTTCAGAAGATGCTAGGTGTGTGTTCCTTCCTTTAAAAGACATGGCCTGTGCACTTGTATAGAACTCACATGCAGTGAAGAGTGAGGCAATTCTTGAATGCTGTAGTTGTACAGTTAAGTGAAGTGAAAAATATTACACATTTTAGAGTAATAAGAGGTTAACATAACATTATTGTCACTATTTAACTTTTTCCTTGTGTTCCCATAGTAGATGTTTCCTTTTAAAGCAAATAGAGTTTGTGAAGAAATAAACACTGAGAATTACTTAAGCCTCATTATTCAAGACCCCACTACAGATATAGAAACAAGGAAGTGCTGGGAACTGATGAACATCTGAATCTAGAAAATTAATAGAAAATAAAACCACAGAAACTCACTATAATAAATGACAGATAACGAATATTTTTACCTCTTATACTAAAGGCACTACTAATAGACAAATATCCTGCTAATGTTTAGAGAAACTCTGAAATCAGCAGTTAGAGAAAGGAATCCATTTAGTTCAATATCAGCATTTTAAAAAACAAAGACTACTTTAAGACTTCCGGAGGAGTTTTCAACAAGTTAAATGAAATCAGATATAATAATAAGCAGCTCCATATAAAGACTGTGGCTCCTACTTTCAAAAAGTATGACATTTCCTTAGAAATATAAGTATTTTTTCCTTTAGTTTTGTGATATGAAATATATAAACTCAAGCCCTGGAACCACTGAGAAATTTTCATAAGTTGTAAAATAACTTCAACAGTTACAGCTTGAATAACACACATCCACACATGACAAGCAAAACCAAAATGCCAGTGTCACTGAACAGTTCAGCATAAAGCTAAAAATATAGAACTAGAATTAGAGAGGAAGTAAATAATGTACATTATGAACTAATGATTGTGACTGTATTACAGTATATGTTGGAATTTTTTAAAAATTTAAAATTTCATTAGTTCCAGGAAGCACTATACATGGACCAACAATGGAGCTCTCATATATTAACATAAGCAGATAAAAAGCTATACAAAAGAATAACACAACTTATTTTAACAATATGATGAATGTTCTGTACTTTATTCTGTTAGATTAATTTGTAATCATTGTACCCTGTAGATTTTGAAACAATTTTTTAGAAATTACTAATGCTGGTTCTTGAATAATCTAAAAAATTGTAATTACTTACTCAAATCTACATTGCTATTTATAGCTCTAAGCAGTTAGATGAAATATTCTGATCAGTATTCCAAAGTTGCTTTGGTACAAAATTTAGAATAAAGCAAAACTGGCAGCACCACAACAAGTGTGATCATTTCACATCAGGTCTAAAGACCCTCAGAGACAACAAAACGTAAGTTAAAATACACATAAATAAGAGCTATCCTCCTGACAATTTTACATCATTAAAAAGAGAAATAAAATCCACATTCGGTAAGTTATACTTCAGGTCCAATTTTCATGCTCCATTTAATTATCCCTCAATGATAGCATAAAAAATGTTTTTTATTATTGCTAATATGAAGTCTAATTCATAGTTCAGGATGCTTCTAGTGATGAGGCCAATGGTTAGAGCAGTACATTTTAATGCTTAGTCCACTGATATTATTTAACACAAGGTTTAATTTAGTCTTTTTTTTTTAACAGCTTTACTGAGGTATAATTGATATACAACAAATTGCACATATTTAAAGGGCACAATTTGATATATAGTCTTTTAAACAGCATGAAAAGTGCCTGACAACTTAAAAATTTTCAATTTAAACATATTAAAATAGTACATTCTAAATTTTTTATGAGACATATATATGGATTTACAAAAGGTGAATGGAAAGAAAAGAAATTAATTTTATTCCAAGTACCAAATTTATTCAGAAGGTTTAGAAATGCCAAAATTGACAGCCAGTTTTCTTGATTTTCTTCTTGAAGAGCCTGGTGTTGGCTTATGGTGAGACACACTATGGCCTTGGGAGGCGACTTCAACTTGAAAAGAAGATGCAGGTTGAGCAATCTGAGAGGACTTTAAGGAAGTTGAAGAACTCTCCTGTGAAGTCACTTTGGTGACATTACAAGACCCTGGCTGGCTAGTCTGAAGTGGGGTGACTTGAGAAGAATTCTTGGTCTCCTTATTCTCAAAGTTCTTTTTGTTTGCAACCCTTTTTTTAGTAACCTTTAAAGAATAAAAGCATTATTAATTAACAATGTAGGCAAAAAAAAAAGCTAGTGTCAGAAAACACCATGAACCATGCTGCTAACATTGTCAATCATTGCTGATTTGTGACTTCCACTTAAAATTTCCAATCCAGACTAGTAATTCAAAGAACTTAGTTATAAACAAAATACTTAACAATTTTCCATAAGCTAAATATTTTTTAAAAATTATATTTCTGATTTTAAATTAGTTTGTGTTACAATAGCATATTATTACTAGCTACAGTTATTATTATTTATCAGAACACAAACTCAGACAACAGGGACTAGGTCGGACTTGCAACCATTACATTCTCAGAAACAAGACCAGTACTGAATGTGTAACTGCCACTGAATAAGTAAACTGAATAAACAAATTTTTATTAACAGTCTTTGAGGATTTAAAAAAATATTTCTCTTCAAATAATAATGATATTTTCAGGTCTCACCTGAAGGGGTATGAACTGACTGTGCACACCAGCTGGCATTCCCCCAGCCATGGGCATGGTTCCAGAATATGAAGTATGATGGAAAGGCTTCCCATGAACTGGCACTGATGGTCCCCATGGCATTGAGCCAAAGAGATGAGATGGTGAAGGCATTATATTAGCTGTTAAAAAACATGGAAAACTTTTCTCAGTAAAATGGTATCATCAAAGCCCTGAAATTTAAGACCTCCTGCCAGCTTTTCTTTCCTTTGGCAAAAGGCCCACACTTAACTCATAATTATTCTTGCTTACAACTTCGAACCTCAGGAGCCCTTCTTAGGACCGTGAACTACCTACAGAAATAAACTGATCATTTTGCTAGCCTGCAAGGGCCAATAGTACCATATGCTAATATAAGTTTTAGGAATATTTGCAATTATATATTAAAAAATAATAAAAGGGTCATGAAACTGTCTCTTGGGAGAGAAAAGCCTGAGCGCAAAGAGAGAAATCTCAAAGGATCTCACCTGCCCCTAAGGATCTCACCTGCCCCCAATGCTAAGCTGCTTCCATAGTGATCCCAACCTACAAAAAACCAAAAAGCTCAAATCCTAAAATCTGATCACTTTGATATAACATGCAGAGTCTTTCTTTTCTATATTCTAATATTTGTAATTGAAAATTTTTTTTCATTTACATTTAGTTTCTTATTAAAAATGCATTGAACCAACTGTTCCCAAACCTGATTTGTGTATCTGAATCAGCGGGGGAGCTTGTGAAATATAGACTCCTGGGCAGGGCCTTAGACCTAGTAAGCCAGACTTTGATCAAAAAGCTCAAATCCTAAAATCTGATCACTTTGATATAACATGCAGAGTCTTTCTTTTCTATATTCTAATATTTGTAATTGAAAAATTTTTTTCATTTACATTTAGTTTCTTATTAAAAATGCATTGAACCAACTGTTCCCAAACCTGATTTGTGTATCTGAATCAGTGGGGGAGCTTGTGAAATATAGACTCCTGGGCAGGGCCTTAGACCTAGTAAGCCAGACTTTGAGGGGCCCAGGAATCTGTATTGTTAATAAGCTCCACAGGTGATTCTCATGCAGACAGACAGTGAGCTGCAGTGCATTTGGAAAATACTGCATTAAACAGTGATAATCAAGACATCAGCACATTGCCACTGAAGAAGATATGAACTATGTATAAACCTCTTCAGAGAGAAAAAAGCAGGCAGGCCTATAAAATAGTATAACTTAATTAAAATTAAGCCACTTAAATTTTTTTTGGATCAGGAGAGAAGAATCATAATATATTTTAGTGTTATAAATTACACATGCACAAATTCCAGGATGAAGAAAATTTTTAATATGAAAAACACTAATAAGATTTAGAAAATTAGGTTTTGATACTACCAATGAGCAACTTTTCTGGGAATCATATTAAGAAGATCTATCTAAAAGATGCTATGTTAATCTTATGCATTGATCGACTCCATAATTTCCACAAGAAATCATTGTTACAAATAAAAAATACATTTTCCTCCATTTTTTTTCCACTGGGACTTTTTATACCATAAAATAGAAAATTTTTATGCCATAAAACAAAAATTTACAAAATAACTTTAAAATGTTAATTTGATGCTTAAGTTGTCCTCTCCTTATTAACATTCAAATCTCTTCGCTTTTATGTATTCATATATTTTACTTGGAACATTTGGAGAACATATTAGATCAAAGGCATTCCGACTATAACCTTCAAATTCTTGGTAGGTATGAATAAACCAATCAACGTGAAAAAAGGTAAAAATATCAAGCTGTAAAATACAGATAATTAATGGGGAAAACAATCATTCCTTTTAGATAATACACTCCCATAAGACATATTCTTTCTTAGAGAAGCTTGCGGGCAAACCTTTAGGTACCCGACACATAATGATTACTTAAAATTAATTCATACAGAATTAGTGGACACATTTTTGAAAGTAAAGAAACAAATTATATTTTACAAGTTATGGTGATATTACTGCATTGAGGTATATGAAAACATCAGATCCATTATGTCATAAAAATTGTATGACTAAAACATTCTCTATACCACCAAAGGAATGCCAATGTAGTATAGTAACAAAGGCATACGCTTTGGAAACGGACTTGGATTTTGAATGCCCTATTCTGCTAATTAGTAACTTATGACCACAAACAAATTACATTTTTTAAAAAAATCAAAGTATTACATACACATTATACTAAAAAAGTTTTTCGGCATAAAACAGCAGCCACCTGTTCCACTGTAAGTTTAACTGTTTTAGAAGTTTATTTCTACACTGTTCAATAATTTGCTTATGCTACTAGTTAGTAATTTAACAACTGCAGGCATTTTTAGATCTACTGACTGCCTACTGAAATAGATCAAAATTCAGTTCTTTTGCAATACCCCTCACTACTTGCCCTGTCCTTCCAACATAAGTATATCACAACATTTGTTTAAATATATAAACAGTGTTTATGGTATGTGACTGTGTAAATATTGTTGCTGAAGAGCCAAAGCAGGGTATTCTGATTATGTTTCCTTTCTTGTAAAACTTTTTGTTTTTACTCGAGTTAAAAATTACCTTTCAAAAGCTGCTCAGTCTTCTATGTACCTAGCCTTAATGTTTTTCCAATGTTGCCCATTTATTAGATAAACCCATCTTAACTGCAAAGACTTCCCTCTGCTTCCTCAGTTGGGACTGGTTACTTTCTAGACTTGTTGAGCAGCTGGCATCCTGGGACTTCCATTCATTGCATAACTCTACTAGACCTACAACTTGTTTGGTCTCATGTTTTTGTTTTTCTTTCCTTTTTTAAAAATTTACTGCTTTGTTTTGCTGCAGCATATAATCCAGTAGCTTCTTAAGAAAGGATACATAAGAAACAAATTTGCAAGTTTAAAAATGTCTTTACCTTACCTTTGCACTAGATTCAGTTCGGACGTACAGAGAAATTTAATATCAAACTCATTCTGCCTCAGGATTTTGTGGCATTCAGCGCTCAGCTGCTTTCTAGCTTCTAGGCACTGTTAAGCAGTGCAATACCATCCTGACTTCTAATCTTTGTATATTTTTCCCCTCTTCTCTAGACCTTTTAGGACCATCTCCTCATCACTGGTGTTCTGAATTTCAAGGTGATCTGTGTCTCTATTCATTGTGCTAAGCATTTGGTGGCCCTTTCAGTTTAGAGATGCATGTCCTTTAGTTCTAACAAACTTTCTTATCTTCCTCCTTTGATACTTTCCTCTTCTCCATTATCTCCAGTTTCTTTTTCCTTTAAATCTCTGTTCTTTCTTATTTTCCAGCTTTTATTTTCCTTGGCTTTGCTAGGGCTTTATCTTCTGAATTTTAAAATTTCGACTCAACAATTTTGCTTGTTCTCCGGTTATTCTTTTCTCATAAAATCTTGTTCTTATTTTTTGGTTGCACTGTTTTATTTCACTGAAGATAGTAATTATTGCTATCTTTGAAGTTTTCTTATTTCTTACATTATCTCTGTTTCTGGATCCTTTTTATTTTTCTTTGTTCTGGGCTCTCTCTTTCATTTTAGAGATTTTCCCTTAATAATGTCTAGTTGTTGCAGGGAACCCTAAGCATTTTCAATTGTTGAGCTTTTCCCTTTTCCACTTGAGAAACTGTTTTAGAAACTTTATGCTCCACTGGAAACTCGACCTCCTGCCTTTTACCCTGCTTGCTTCTTGGGCCCGTCTTCTATGAGATAACAGCAGTCTCACAACCTCCCCCAGGGGCCAGAAGCAAATTAGGCTCCTAAAGTGACCAACAGACTGTGTCCCATAACTAGCCAATCCAAATTAGTAGGACAGCATCCCTCATTTACATAAGAGGACCTAAAGGAGAACCTAGGAGGGAGAAGGGCGGGAATTTAGGCTACATAAAGGGGGTCAGTTCCTTTGTTTGGGGAGACACTGGCTTGGGGGTTTCTGCCCTCCGGTGTTCTCCTTGCTTGCAAGCAAAAAGAGGCGCTATAACACTGAACAAAGAGCTGCAACACCAAAGAGCTATAAAACTACAACACTGACGCCGGTCTTGGATTCCTCTGTGCATTCGCCCCACAACATAGTGATCTCTCATAGTCTAGTATCTATTCATATTAAAGAAGGAGACATGAGAACTGTGATTAGAAGCAGTGTTTGTGAGGGGAGCTGGATTTGATGATTTGAGGGCTTTACTCTAGGATAACTGGGTAGTGAGCCAGCCTTTTGGTTGGAATATCCTCTAAAAGAAAGTAGGTCTTTTCTTTGGAGGTCAATGAATTTCTCAAAAGAACCATCCTCCAATTTCCTATGGGGGTGGGGGTAGGGTACGGTATAGCTGGTTATAATTTGGGAACTGGATAGGGAAAAGGGAACTTTACCTTAACCTCTGAAGACAGAGGTTAGGTATTTTATTCCCTACTCTGTGCATGGTGTCCCCACATCTAGAGAGCCCTTCCAGAGAACATACCTCCAGCCTTCTGCCTGAAGAAGTCTGGCTGAGTGGGCAGGGCTGGAGGCAGGTGGCCATATTACTCTACATATAGATTTATACAGGGTATCTTCAAATTCTAAATTTGAGGAACATTGTGCCCATCAGCTCATGTGTAATCTCTTCTATAGGCACTTTAGTTTGTGGGTTAACCCTGTTCTGCTAAATTGGTTACTTCTTCAATTGTTTTTCTCATCACAAACTCTTTTCAAATATGATGATATTTCTTCTTCCAACTCTTTATTCTTTATTCTTGTAGGTTTACACTTCTAAATCTGTTATTATTCAGTTTAATGGAGTTTGGGCAATAAGAAGACACGACTGCATTTTGTAAAGTTACCTTATTTAATCAGCATTTTTAACCTTTCTAATGTTTAGATAGAATGTTTATAAAGATTAGATATGTAGAATTCCTGGAATAAGACTAGGCATATATTATATTAGCTGCAGAAAAGTAATTTTCTAAACTTGAAATAAATAAATTATTGGCTTTAAAATGATAATGACTAAGATATAAAGAACCCAAGAGGTATCAGGAAAAAGGCTGGGTAATAAAAGAAATGTCTAATGAACTCAAGATTTAGAATCATAAAATTATAAAATGTCTGTCTCAAAAATATCCTGGACACAGCCTCCTACAAATATGAAATGGAGCCCCAAAGAAGTTACATGATTTTTTTTTTTTTGTCTTTTTCCGTGTCCGGCAACGGATC